ATCCTGTCTTAAGGGCGTATCTGTGTATGAATAGGGTGAGCCTGTGACCTGGATTCAGGAACTGAGTATTTACCATCACAAAAGGATGGCCAGGATGCCCAGGTAAAAGCAATCCGTGACCATTATCAGGTATCCTGGCAGACAGGTTTTCTGCTGTAGACTGCCCCTTCAGTGATGGGTGTATGATGTTTTGGGGGGTGGTCTTGAGCTACAAGGGAGGCAATTTTCAAATGTCTATACTGTATAAGAGCTTAGATTCAGGTAGGTAGCCATGTTGGTCTGATGCAGTCGAAATAAATAAATAAAAAGTTAAAAAATTATCCAGTAGCACCTTAGAGACCAACTAAGTTTGTTCTGGGTATAAGCTTTCATGTGAATGCACACTTCTTCAGACATGAAGAGCTTGCACACAATTGTTCTGGGTTCCTCTCCTCCCTCCCTGTGTGCGGGGAGTGGGGGACCCTGTTGCAACAGTTGAATAAAGATCAGGCTTAGTAGCTGCTTTGCTTCTCAATATTCTCTGGTTGGCCTCTGTTATTTTCTCCTACTGATAGAGAACCTACATAAGGACTCTATACGGGCTCTTGGATACCCATAAGGCAGGAGTAGGCAAACTAAGGCCTGGGGGCCAGATCCAGCCGAATCACCTTCTAAATCCGGCCCACAGATGGTCTGGGAATCAGCGTGTTTTTATATGAGCAGAATGTGTCCTTTTATTTAAAATGCATCTCTGGGTTATTTGTGGGGCATAGGAATTCGTTCATATTTTTTTCCCAAAATATAGTCCGGCCCCCTACAAGGTCTGAGGGACAGTGGACCGGCCCCCTGCTGAAAAAGTTTGCTGACCCCTGCCATAAGGGATAAAGGAGCAGTTTTTTCTTATAACACTCGCTATTATATTCTGCAGCATCTTAAAAAGCAGAAAGCAGAGACATCACCTTGCCAACAAAGGTCCGTATAGTTAAAGCTATGGTTTTCCCAGTAGTGATGTATGGAAGTGAGACCTGGACCATAAAGAAGGCTGATCGCTGAAGAATTGATGCTTTTGAATTATGGTGCTGGAGAAGACTCTTGAGAGTCCCATGGACTGCAAGAAGATCAAACCTATCCATTCTGAAGGAAATCAGCCCTGAGTGCTCACTGGAAGGACAGATCGTGAAGCTGAGGCTCCAATACTTTGGCCACCTCATGAGAAGAGAAGACTCCCTGGAAAAGACCCTGATGTTGGGAAAGATGGAGGGCACAAGGAGAAGGAGATGACACAGGACGAGATGGTTGGACAGTGTTCTTGAAGCTACCAGCGTGAGTCTGATCAAACTGCGGGAGGCAGTGGAAGGCAGGAGTGCCTGGTGTGCTCTGGTCCATGGGGTCACAAAGAGTTGGACACGACTAAACGACTAAACAATTATATTCTGACATCACTCTGATGTTTTACGCCTGTCAACGTAGCTTCAGTTCTGAACGCATCCCTTTTGTGACCCCCAATTTATTTTTACATTTGCGTTCATATCCCAGGAAGTGTGCATGCTTCTCCCCTTGCAAAGAGAAAGAGTCACTCACGGCGCTTGAGGGCTGAGTGGAGATTTGAACCCTGGTCCCCCAAGTCCTAGTTCAGCCTGTGAACCGCTACGCCACATCTTGCTCTCTTCTCCAAGAAGATTTACAGAGCCAGTAAGTGCTGGAGACTTGCGTGCATGGGATATTATACATAATCTGCACCTTCCTGGAATCTTTCTGCCTGCCTGCAATGCATCCTTAAACACCGCATCATGCCACTTGCTTGCTTGAATGGAAGGAGTGTCTGAGTGTGTGAAGAAAGCAGCCAAGTGCACAGAAATGGAAAGAAGAGAAGGTTCGAATGAAGGAGGAATGGCTTTCAAAAGCAACAGACTATGTGGAAATGGGGGACGCGGGTGGCGCTGTGGGTAAACCACAGAGCCTAGGGCTTGCCGATCAGAAGGTCAGTGGTTCGGATCCCCGCGACGGGGTGAGCTCCCGTTGCTCAGTCCCTGCTCCTGCCAACCTAGCAGTTCGAAAGCACGTCAAAGTGCAAGTAGATAAATAGGTACCGCTCCGGCAGGAAGGTAAACGGCGTTTCCATGTGCTGCTCTGGTTTGCCAGAAGCGGCTTAGTCATGCTGGCCACATGACCCGGAAGCTGTACACCAGCTCCCTCGGCCAATAAAGCGAGATGAGCGCCGCAACCCCAGAGTCGGCCACGACTGGACCTAATGGTCAGGGGTCCCTTTACCTTTACCTTTACCTTTACCTTTATGTGGAAATGGCAACGCTGACAGCAAAACCAGGAGACCCAAATGATAAACTTTTTATAGAAGAAGAGTCAAATGAAATCGCTGGCAGGATTCGAGATATGAGCAGCAGAAGAAAAATGATTGCACTGGGGGGATTTTTGTAATAGATGAGAGTCTGATATACAACACAGTAGAAAAGAGTTCGAACATAAACACTGTGGAAGTGTGGCTGGGAAGTCAAAGCTGTTATGTAATTATTTGATTTGAAGTTAATTTGTGAAATTCCGGAAATTGAATAAAAACAAGACAGTAAGAAAAGGCGGGGGGGGGGAGAGAGAAAGAAAAGGAAGAAACCAGCCAAGTTTGCAAAGGTAAAAATTTCACCTCTGGCCCTTCTTATCGCTGATATGTGGCCCTCGGAATGTTGCCAGGAAGGAAATGCGGCCCTCTGGCTGAAAAAGGTTTCCTACATCGTTTTTGTATGTGATACCATACCCGTTTTGTAAAAACACCTTAGAAATGCTTGAAATAAAATGAGCTCTCTGGGTGCTCCTGCAATTTCCACCCGCCCACCTGAAGCTGGTTGAAGTTGCTGAGTTGAAGACTCCTGTGGCAGATTTGGTTTGATCTCTCTCTCTCTCTCTCTTTGAATGCTTTGATTGCCTTTATGACACAGGCGTTCTATCCTGAGACCTGAGCCGGAAATGTAGACATGTCCTATTTTCTCCCCCCCGCCTTGTTATCTCCACTGATTGGTGTATATATATGCACCAATTCCAGCTTTCTAGGCCAAACCAGAAGTGTTGATGCAATGGCAGACTGCGTAAAGGAAGAAAAGAAAAGCTCAGATAATGGAGGGCGCTGGAATCATCCAACTTAAGTCCACTGATTTCGATGAGAAGGTCCACTGATTTTTTTCTGAGAAGGACTATCATCAGATATTGCCTACAGAACGGTACCTTTTAAAGCTGCAATTGGGGTGCTATAACTTTAGTAGCGCTCTCCCTACCCAACAAACTGCCCTTATAGATCATAACAATAATTTGACCCATCTGATTGGGTTGCCTCAGCCACTCTGGGCAGCTTCCAGCATATAGGAAAACATAATAAAATATCAAGCATTAAAAACTTCAGGTGTCTTCTGAAGAGATAGATATTTATCTCCTTGACATCTGATGGCGGGGGGGGGGGGCTTTCCACAACAACACCGGCAAAAAGAAAAAGCTCAGCAACTTTTCTGTCCAGAATTTCACTTTTTAAAATATGGCAACCCTAAGATACATAGAAAGATAGATACAGTGGTACCTTGGTTTACGAACTTAATTCGTTCCTGAAGTCTGTTCTTAAACCAAATCTGTTCTTAAACTGAGGCTCGCTTTCCCTAATGAGGCCTCCCGCCGTCGATGCCCTTCCACCGTTCGGCTTCCGTTCGTAGGCCGAGGCAAAGTTCGCAAACCGGGACACTACTTCTGATTTTGCGGAGTTCGTAAACCAGATAGTTCGTAAACAGGACTGTTCATAAACCGAGGTACCACTGTAGATCTTTCTCTGGCGCCACCTACTGTTGGGCTCCCTGCCTTCTGCCCTACAAGTCCCAATGTCACCTGTTGGTAAAAAAACGACCTACCTTCCAGGCCTGTTGTGCAATAAAGGCGACAAAGGCAGCAAAGCACTTTGCAGAGAGCAACGCTGAGTGCTAGCAGTCGCGAACGAAGCCTAGGCGACTCAGCACACCATCCTGGCTCCTGACTTTGCTTCTCGACTTTAGACACACACGCAAACAGACACCCCCCCGCCCCTTTTACCAGCATCATAGCAAAGGCTGAGTGTTGCCTACCTTGCATTCTTCCGTCTGAGGCACATGAAAGTGAAGGGGAAAATGGGTGCAGGTGCCCAGCAGAGAAGTCCAAAGTGTCTGGGGAGCCTCTCTGCGTTTCTGCAGCCCGTGTCCTGCCTGCTTTGAACACACACAGGCTGACTTTGCTTCAGGTGCCCAACGTGGACTGCTCTGGAGAAGCCGTGTGCCCAGCTGCACCCCGCTGCTGCCACCCTCTATCCTCTAATGGGTATCGACAAGGCGAGGGAGCGGGAGGCCAGGGAGCGGACACCTGACCTTCCCCCAGGGGGGCCTTTCAGGCGGCTTGCCTGCTCAGTCCATTAGCAAAAGCAAGCTGGTTTGAGGGAGGGAGAGGGAGAAAGAGAGAGAGAGAGAGAGAGAGAGAGAGGGACGCAGAGCAGGCAAGCCAGGCTAGCTACCTGGCGCTTTCACTTGATCTGCGTTTCCTCAGGAGGCAGTGTAGCGTAGCGGTTAGAGCTGCAGGCCAGGGGACCCAGATTCAAACCTCTGCTCAGCCGCAAAGGTCTTAGCACATTTGTACAAATGGTGTCAAGTGATCTGGAATATCCTCCATTGCTACCCCAAAAAAAGGTGTGTGGGTTAGGGGAGCTTGGGCAGCAAAAATCATGGCGAAAGTCCTGTTTTCTGCTAGAGCATCTTACCGGCACTCAGAACCCTCCTCGCCTGGCATCCCCTGCCTGACACCCAAATTGGATTCCTTGGTATGAGTTTTGCACTGCGGCTGCATTTCGATTCGGTCTCTTTTAGCATTTCTTTTATGCTGCTGCCACACCCAAGTAAGACAGCAGCATCTCAGCGATTTCCCTTTAGGAAACTAATCTCCTGCCTCTCCTGCGCAAACCCAGTCCGCTGCAAAGCTTTTGGGGATGTGGGGGAAGTCCTTGGACCTGGGACAGCTCAGTCAATAGAACATGAGACTCTTAATTTCAAGAGTCATGGGTTTGAGCCCCATGATGGGCAAAAGATTCCTGCGCAGCAGAGGGTTGGACTCAATGACTCTCACGGTCCCTTCCAACTTTGCAATTAGAGTGGGGCTCTGCAGATGTTAGCTGGACTGCAGCTCCCATCTCCCCTGGTTCCCCAGGGCATATTTATTTATTCCATTTCCATTTCTGTCCCACCTTTCCTTCAGCAAGCTCAAGGCGGTGTACAAACTTCACCTCCCCATTTTATGCTCACAACCACCCCACGGGGTGGGGTGGGCTGAGAGGCAGTGACTGACCCAAGGTCACCCAGTGAGCTTAATGGCCAAGGGAGGATTTGAACCCTTGTCTCCCAGGCCCTAGTCTGACATCCTAAGCACTACACCCCACTGGCTCGCCATATCAGCTAGGGCTGATGGGAGTTGGAGTCCATCAAGAGCTGGAGGGCCACAGATTCCACAGCCCTTGTGCTAGGGCACATGGGCTGCCACGGTGCTCAGACCCGCAGGCCCTGCATGGGCTGAAAAACACACACACTTCAAAGGACTCCTCTGGAGCTGAACAATGATGTAAGGGGAATTACAGGAGCAAGCCATCTTTTGAGAGATCTAGGGACTCCGGCAGATTTTAAAATGTTGTAATATTTTCACGTGCTCCAATAAATATGTGTGTTTGTGTGTGTACACGCACATCTTTCTTGGAACACGTGAAAACATTGCAATATTTTTCGTTTATTTTTTGGAGATGGATAACCTTTTCAGAAAAACCGCTGCCACCTGGTGGTCAGCATGTGGCATCGCACACTTTAATCTTTGTTACTGTATTACTGTATTAGCCAGTTTGTATGAGCAACATAATAAAATACAAAAAAATTTTTAAAAGAAAAAAAACAACACAAAAATATAAAGCACCCCCCCCCCAAAGAAACCCCCTCACATCATCAAATACCAACAACAAAACACACATAGGAAGATTACAGATTAGGACTGCAAGCCCAGACAAAAGGAAAGTTTCCTCACCCATCACAACAGTCCTTGGTCCTCTTTAAACTTTAGCTTTTGGTCATTCCTTTAAACTTGAAAAGTGGCTTTCTCCAGCTGTTGAATTCTAGATGCAAAAAAGTTATGCAACAAGAGACAGATTCTGGAATTCACAATATGGTGTGCAATATGGCCAGGATCCCAAACAATGGTAGATTGGAGACAGAAATCTCCCGAACCCAGAAGTTGCCGCAGCCACCTTTCCTCGCTTCTCTGGTGGTGGGAGGAGCATGGGCTCTCTGGATTCTGCCACCTGAGGCAGCTGCCTCAGTCTACCTCATGGGATGGGCTGGCCCTGTCTCTAGCTATTGCTAGACTGCAACTTCCATCCTCTGACCATGGGCCATTCTGGCTGTGTCTGATGGGATTTGGAGTCCACCTACACTTGGAGGGCCCCAAAGGTCCCCCACCTTTGATTTAAAAGACTCAAGGGCAGACCCTCGATGTGTCCCTAATTTTCAGGGACGTCCCTGATTTAGAGAAGCTGTCCTGATTTCTGATTTGATCTCGGAATGTCCCACTTAGGATGTCCCTATTTCCATTGGAGAAATGTTGGAGGGTATGGAGTTATCTGACTCCCAAGCTGTCTGAAGGCAATCCTGTATAGGGAATGTTTTGGTTTTTTAATGTTTAATGTTTTATTATGTTTTATATATGTTGGAAGACACCCGGGGTGGCTGGGAGAGCCCAGTAAGATATGTGGGGTATAAATAGCAAATTTATCATTATGGAATGGGACGTCCCTATTTTCATCGGAGAAATGTTGGAGGGCATGCAAGGGCTGCCTTGGCCTTCACTGCTGAATGAAGAGCTCGAACTCCCAGTTCAGCTTCTGCCAAAGTCTTCGATTTGCAAATCAGATCCGTGCCGAGGCAAGGCACCGTTTACAATGTGCAGGAGGTACACACATGTGCCATAGTTCTGATTTTGTAGAGCACATCCTAGTTTCCATCTGTGTCTGTTTGCCCATCATACAGCCCCCTGCCACAGCTAGAGACAGGTGATGAACCAGATTTGTACTTAACCTTCGCCATGTTGGGAGAGGGATCCTTTTCCTAATGGCAGGTGTGGGCTTCTCCAGGTGTTGCTGAGCGACAAATCCCATCAGCCACAGCAAGCATGGCCAAGGTGGGCGGGCGCTGTGGTCTGACCACATGCGGATGGCTGCAGATTTCCCCACCGCTGCTAAGAAAAGGCGCTGAAAGAGGACAGGGCTCTGGCCCTTGCAAAACTGCCAAATAAAGAGAGGATTTCAGGAGCGCATAGCTCAACTATGGAATCTGCTCCCATAGGAGGCAGTGACAGCAGTGACTGGGCAAACTGGTGGAGGAAAAGGCTATTGATGGCTACCGGCCGCAATGGCTGTGCTTTGCCCCCACCACAGTAACAATTCTGAATACCAGTTTCCGGGAACTGCAGGAGGGGGGGCGGCTTTGATGCTCAGAGGTCCTGCTTGTGGGTTTCCCAGAGGCATCTGGGTGGCCACTGCGAGAACAGGATGCTGAACAAGAAGAGCCAATGGCCTGATCCAGTAGCCCCGTCTTACGTTCCTACACATGGCAAGCAATACCTGCTGAAATGCCCATTTCTACTTAACTAATAATAAATTTTATTTATACCCTGCCCTCCCCAGCCAAGACCGGGCTCAGGGCGGCTAACACCAAATATAAAAACAATTGATTGAAATACAGCTTAAAAAACAAGATTAAAATACAACATTAAACATTAAAATGCAGCCTCATTTCAGTGGAAACTCAATCAAAAACTTTTTTGGGGATAAAAACGTCAATTAACAATAGTTAATTTTCGACATTTGACTACCCTGTTTCCTGTTGGTAGTGATATTTGGGGATCGTCTCTCCCCACTCTGCCTTGCCTGCCCTCCAAAGAACTAGCAGGGGGGAGACTGGTGCATTGGAGCTTGTGTGGCACTGCCCCACCAACCTCAGCCTGCCTTCATCCGGTCCCTCCCTGCCCTTCTTCTTCTTCTTCTTCTTCTTCTTCTTCTTCTTCTTCTTCTTCTTCTTCTTCTTCTTCTTTCTTTGGTGATCACTCGTAGCTGAGTAAGATTGTCTTCCATAAACACGGTTTTAACAATGAGTCCGTAAGTGACTGTGGAGGCCAATTCTGGATCCACACGTCCTTCCACAGTGGGGACATTGGTTTCCGGATGGGAGTTGATCACAGTGTGGATTTTCCAAGCGTGCCTTCCTCCTAGCACGTTTCTCCCATGTGTCCTGAGTTCGAGGGTCTTCAAAGCCCATGACACCTTTGGTAAAGGCTGTTCTCCAACTGGAGCGCTCGCAAGCTTCCCAGTTGTCGGTGTTTGTACTACATTTTTTAAAATTTGCCTTGAGACAGTCTTTAAACCTCTTTTGTTGACCACCAGCATTACGCTTTCCATTGTTAAGTTTGGAATAGAGTAGTTGCTTTGGAAGACAAGCATCAGGCATCCGCACAACATGGCCAGCCCAACGAAGTTGTTCTTACTAGCATCTTGTCGAGGGGGTGGCTCTCTGCTGTCAGGTTCCTCCTCCTCCTTAGTCTCAATATTGCCATGTATGGTCTAGTTGAGGTTCCTGCCTTGCTAGATGACCCTTGGGGTCCCTTCCAACGATTCTATGAAAATTCAGCAGGGTGGAGGAGAAGGATGGAGGCAAAACTATAGCTTGTGGGCTCTGCCTGTCATTGGCTCTGGCTCCACCTCCTTGCCTTCCTTGCCTTCCACCCCACCAGTCCCAAGAGACACCAGCTGCTCTGTCAGGCATTTAACCTGTCAAGGCTTAAGCAACTATTTGATGATTATGTCCTCTAAGCTGTGCACACAGTCTTCTCCATCTTCCCAACACTGAGTGCACATGACTTTAGCCCAATCCTTAGGCATCCCATAGTTTCTCGAGAAATGCTCCCGTTTGATGCACTTTCCGTCAAAACAGCTTCCATCTGACTTGAAAGCAGAAGCCGCCGTTAAGCCAAGGTGTGTACATTTGAGACATGTTCTGCACATGCTCAGATGACAGCAACACCAGATCAGATATCAGCCCGGGGAAAATAAATAAAGTACAGTAATGTGCATTGGGTGAAGACAACCCCTCACAGTCCCTGGTGTATACAGCAACATTAAAAAGCAATTTGAAACATGGGTGGGGTGGGGGAAACGACTGTTCTGTGTTTTAAACCAGTAATGCGTACCTAGCCATAGTCTGGTATACAGTAGATTCCTGTGTTCCTGCAGAACCATGGTTTTGTTCATGCACAAATTTATTAAAGCAATCAGCTAAGATTTCTTTAGTTGTGTAGTAGGCCAATTAATAATTCAGAAGATGCCATCCTACAGGGTGAGATCCATTTGGGAGTAAGAAGTGTTCAACTCAGCAGAACTTAGCTGAGATAGCTCAGTCGGTAGAGCATGAGACCCTTAATCTTAGGGTCATGGGTTCGAGTCCCTTATTTGGCAAAAGATTCCTGCATTGCAGGGGGTTGGACTAGATGACCCTCGTGGTCCCTTCCAACTCTAGAATTCTATGAAATATGCCTAGGAGTGCGCTGGGGCGAACGGCGCTAAATTAGCTGCAGTGCCTCACTAATACCACCAGGGGGCAGAGCACAACTGCATATTTTTTCCATTCAAGGTTTGGGCACCAGTGCAGCCAGTTTAGGATGAGTGTTGGAAGCAGGCGCAGGGGTCAGAATTCTGTTTGTTGAGCATTCATCCTGGCTTGTTTGCAAGGAAGTTAATGGAAGGGCCGTAGCATCTGCTTTGCATGCAGAAGGTCACAGGTTCAATCCCCAGCATCTCCAGGTAGGCCTGGAAGAAACTCCCTGTCTGAATTTGCAGGGAGCCACTGCCAGTCAGTGTAGTGAATGGCCTGACTCACAGATACATAGAATTTTAGAGTTGGAAGGGATTCTCAGTGGTCAACTAGTCCACCCCCCAATGCAGAAATCAGCTAAGGAATCACTGTCAGATGACCATCCAACTTCTGTTTAAAAGCCTCCAATGAAGGCAAGTCCATTTCACTGTGAAACAGCTCTTCCCATCAGAAAGTACCATCAGAAATCCAGACTCAGCAGAAGGCATTTTCCTGTATTCCTATATTTAGACAATGCTGGCTATCCACTGAGCATTCATTTCGATTTGCTCACAGGGAGGTTAGACAACATTGCGTCATACAGGTGTTATTCCAGTGTGTTTCCTTGTCTCATTTGTTTACTGCACAGACATCCAATGGGGCAGTGAGGGAGCTGGTTTGTTGTGCGAGAGCCTCAAATGAACTCTAATTGCACCAATTAAATTTAGGATTGAATCCCACCTGAAAATAGCAACTGTCTGGAAGGGCCCTAAAATTAACCGAACTGTACCACTGCAGGGCAGCCATGGTTTTAAACACATACACAAACGCTAACAACTGGTGCATGTTCTGTTCTGCTCTGCCTCCGAAGTGAAGTGTGCAGCACAGTCTTCATCCTTTCAACAGCAGCCTCATAGCTGGTGCTCAGCCACATGCAAGATTTTCGCTGCATAATTTCCCACCCACCTTGTTAGCAGTTCTTATGTGAGAGATCCTTCCTCAGGAAGGGAAAGGATAAGGTGTGGAGGTGGGGGGTGGGTGGGTGAACAGCTGGGGAAGCTTTGAAACACCTCTCATTATTTTAAAAAACAGGGCAAGGGAAAGAGGAAATGTATTGGTTAACTAATAAATAGTGCCCGAGTTTGCTTCTATCCCTTTATTTATTTATTGCATTTATATCCAGCCTTCCCCCCACCCCACCAAGGAGCTCAGAGTTTTACAAGATGGTTCTCCAGCTCCTCATTTGTGAGGTAGGTTAGGCTAAGAGGTAGTGACTGACCCCAAGGTCACTTATATGGGCCTTTAGCTTTGCAACATCAATTTAGCACTTGCAGCAGGAAAGTGATCCATGGTCTTGGTTTAGTCCCAAATAAATCTTGCCATCATTATCCAAGAGGCTAACGGAGCGGCCCTTCTGACATTTGTCAGCCTGACAAGGGTTTAGGGTTTCATACAGGCAGCAACTTGAGACATCTGCTTAATTAGTTAAAATATTTGGTGCTGCTTACAGGTGCCACTTGGGACGCGGGTGGTGCTGTGGGTTAAACCACTGAGGCTAGGGCTTGCTGATAAGAAGGTTGGTGGTTCAAATCCCCACGACGGGGTGAGCTCCCGTTGCTCAGTCCCTGCTCCTGCCAACCTAGCAGTTTGAAAGCACAAAAGTGCAAGTAGATAAATAGGTACCGCCCCGGCGGGAAGGTAAACAGCATTTCCGTGCGCTGCTCTGGTTCGCCAGAAGCGGCTTAGTCATGCTGGCCACATGACCCGGAAGCTGTACGCTGGCTCCCTCGGCCAATAAAGCGAGATGAGCACCGCAACCCCAGAGTCGTCCACGACTGGACCTAATGGTCAGGGGTCCCTTTACCTTCACAGGTGCCACTTAATACCTATTCTGTGTTTGTAAAAACTCAGTTGTTTAGCGTGGCAGAGCCTACTGTTGGAACTCCTTGCCTATTGAGATCAAAGCAGGCGACTTCGCTGTACTCTTTGCGGTGCCTGCTAAAAACATCCCTGTTTAGAGGAGCCTCCCCAGATGCCTAGAAATCTGGGACAATTTTCAGACCCTCCCAAATGTCCCTATTTTCCAGGTCCAATCCCAGATTTACAGAAGCCGTCCCGGTTTCTTATTTGATCCCGGAAATGTCCCACTTTTCCTTAGGACGTCCCTGTTTTCATCAGAGAAACGTGGGGAGGGTATGAATTTTGATCTGTTTTAGTATTTCTGTATGTTTTAAAGCATACAGTATGTTTCTCCGTTTTCTCATTTTCAAATTATTGTAAACCACTTTGAGGTTGTTGGTTGTTGTTTTTTACAGTCGAGCGGTGTATAAATTTTATGAAATAAATAGAGAGACGCAGACACACACAATATATATTTATTTTTCTGCCCATGAGGCCTCGTCACTTTTAGACCAGAGGATGGAGGAGAAATTAATTCGGATATTTCCGTGGAGCCCGAACAGGAGACAATTCGGGTATTTCCGGACATTGCCAACCAGGGCCTATTCGGCTGTTTACGTCCATTTCCGAACTTCTCTCTCTCTCTCCACAGGTTTCCGGATGTTGCCTCTACCTTCCCCCCTCCCTCTCCCAGTGACTTTCTCTCCCACCCCAACGCAATAGAAAGCTTTAGCCACGCCCTCTCCTTTTCCTCTCTCTCTCTCTCTCTCTCTCTCTCTCTCTCTCTCTCAAAGAAGCCCCGCCTTTCTTTCCTTGCCCAACCAATCAACTCTCCGCCGGCGCCTTCGTGTTTTTCCGTGCACCGTGGGAAGTAGAATCGGCTTGGCGTTCGGAACTTTCCGCCAGACCGCTGGAGGGTAGCGGATGACGAGAGCGAGGCGTGCGAAGCAGCCGTTGTTGTCGAGGCCGCTTTCGAGTGTTTCCGGAAAACAGGCGGAACTTCCCGAAGCCCGGCGGAGGCGGCCATGTTGGGAGCCTCCGCTGTGTGAAGCTGAGGGGCGGCGAGTAGAGCTCGGGCACCGGCAGTGACGGGAAAACGGTGTCCGGGCCCAGTTCTGGAGGCGCGCGGGGGCTCGGAAGCCTCAGACCAGACAAAGGCTCGCTTTGGGTCCCGGCGTTTCCCCGCTTCGGGTTTTTTCGACCGGTGCGGCCTTGTCCCCGCGCCTCATCCTCGGCCTCGCGTGAACTGTCAAGCCGGGCACCCCTCATTCAAAGCCGGCGGGGCGCGGGACCCACCTATGTATAGGCGGTGCTGGTGCCTTCCGACCACCCATTGAGCCCCATTTCCCCCATGCTGGTGGCTTGGCCGCCCCCCTCGCCGTGAGGAGGAGGAGGAGGAGGAGGAGGAAGAGCCGGAGGAGGAGGAAGACCCCGACCCCTTCCAGCTGGGTCAGGGCGAAGGAGAAGGGGAAGCAGCTGAGCAGCAGTGGGGGGACTCTCCCCTCAGGCCCTGCCCAAGGGAGCCATGTCGAACAGTGGTCGGAGTCCCCTGCCCACCCTCAATGAGAGAGACACGGAGCAGGTAAAAGGGCTGGATGTGCATTTGGGGAGGGGGTGGGATCCAATAGGGAAACCTGGGGGTTCCTTGATCCCACATATATTCCTTCTGTTGGGGTTAATGTGGATGGGGCGGCATGTCTAGGTTCTTCTTTGAAAGGAAAAAGGAAAAGTGATCCTGGTTCGGTTAGCCCAGCACATGTGGGAAATTTAGCAGAGGGAATCTTCTTTTCCCATGTCACAGAAATGTAGTGGTACATCTGTTTGTGTGGGTAAGTGAAGCCTCCCACGTATTCCCCCCCCTCCCCCACCAGGCTGTTGTCAGAAAGCAGACAGATATTTTTAAAAACATAGCACCACACGGGTGGCGATCCTGCATGGGAAGCTGGATAAGTGCTGTCCCTTTAAGAGTTGCGTGGTAGGGAGAATCTAGCCAGATGAGATGTTCTTCACCTCCCACCCATTCCCCCTCCTCAGTCTAAGTCTCTGGAGCACTGTGATGGGAATAGCTTAAGGCTGCCACTTTCCTTTTTAACTGCCTGTGTTCCTGTGCCTTTTAAAAAACCTATAAAAGCATTTTGAGGCATGCAGAAATATAGCAGGTGAAGCGTTGTTCAGCTGTTTGTGCCATTCCAGGGAGTGTGCTTCTCTTGTTTTTATTTCCTGTTTGATAGGCAGGTGCAGGGAAAGATTGAAAAGGTACAGAAAAGAAGGGGCAACCCTGACCTCCTCTGTGCTCCAAAGATTTGGGGGTGGGGGAGGAGCTTGATCTGACTTGATTTTCCGTTCCATGTACTGTAATGTTTAAAGGGGAGCATTCTTCGTGGAGCAGCTTCCCATGAAGGGATATTGTTACTTCTTTTTTCTTTTTTTAAAGTGACTCTGCTCCTGTGCTGCTTTTCAACAGTAGGTTGTTGTGGAGAAATTCAACAGGCATAACTCTCACCACCACTGATTCATCTCTTATGTGGGGGATGCAAGAGAAAGCTTACCTTTCTAGATTTCATGAGCAGGGTTAACAAAGCAACTGAATGAATGGCAACCCTGCCCTGTAAACTTTGGACAAGGCTTGAGTGCTAGGAGGAGGCTGGGAAAGGAAACCTCCAGGCTTACCTTCTTCTTGTAAAGGTGGATGTGTGGGGTAATTGGAGTGGTGGTAGAAGTGAATAACATGCAGGGTAGCATCCAGGAGGGTAGGTAAAAACACCAGGAGTTGGGGAAGAAGTGGCTATTTGGGTGGAGTTACTAATACCTGTTACTTGCTTGGGACATTGTGAAAGGTATTGCTTTGGTGAATGGTTTGGGTAACAAGCAGCCACCACTGGGATGAATGAATCACAGGAAGGTGCAGCTAAAGGTGGTTAGAGAATATTTTTCTTGCATCTTTTCTCTTTTTATCCAGAAAGAACACTTGGGAACGGTACTTAATAGTGAACAGTGCTGGTACTGAGAGGAGCTGTTTTGGTTTGCTTGCTGGACTGAAGAAGGCAATTGAGCAATGGATAAGAGGATGAGGTTGAATTGTCAGGAATTGCATGTGTGTGTAATCTTGCATTTTATTCTGGGAGATTGAGTCATTGAGTAGTCTTCCCCTTTTTGCTCTTTTGTGGCAGGGAGTGCTGTTGTGGGATGCATTGGGGAGCCAACTCAATCTAGAAGGCTGCAGGAGGTTGAAATACCATGTGGAAACATCACTCTTCTTCTCCCATTCCCCCATCCCACTTAAGTACCACTCTTGCCTTCATGCTTCTCTTTGGATTATTATTTTGGATTGAGGAAGCTAGTCAGTGAAGCAGGTAGAGGATAGCACATTTTCTGACATGCAGATAGGTCAACTACCTCAACTGAGTTTGAGGTTTGATGTTGCCCAAATGATACCTTAAACCACCGATAAGATTGCAAAGTCTGGTTCTGAGAGGTATATGTCAGGAACACTCTTTCACTTAGGTTCAGTCCCCATTCTGGAGTGCACTACCATGGGGGTTATCTCTGAACATGATGTATGTGTGATAGCACAAGTGAATTGCCCAGGTGCTGTGGACAAAGGGCATCTCCTCAATGAAGGTATACCATTTTCATGCACTTAAAAGGGGTTTCATCCAAGAGTTTGAAGCAACATCTTAACATGCGTTCCCCCCCAGCTGACATACCTTTAGAGCTTCCAAGTGATGAGGCATCATCTTGTTTGGGTGACTTCTGAGTGCCTACCTAATCTATCTGTGGCCAATTTTGTAGATGACACAGTTCAAGTGCTGAAAGCACTCCACACGTGTTGTTCAGGTAATCTTTGTAATCTAAAGTAGAGCAATATTGTCCCTATGTTTCAAGTGTCGGGTGGAGACTGAGAGAAGTATGGTTTCACCAAGGCCACCTACTGAGTTTGTGGTGAGGTGCAGTTTGGACATGAGACTTCTCAGCTGCTATGCTACATGTGGAATGCACATAGAATATTTCAGTTTTATAAGCTACCTTCTTTCAAACTAGGAGCATTGCTGGGTCAGGCCAGAGGACGATCTACTGCTGCATCCTATTCTCACAGTGACCAAGCAGATGCCCTAAAACAGAGCTTTCCAAAATGTGTCGCGACATGTTAGTGTGTTGGCTACAGTGTGTAGGTATGTTGTGCGAATGCTCCCCGCGCTCCTCCTGGGGCTGGAAATGAGTTAGTTTAACCTCTAGTTTGCTAGTAAAACTGAATTACTGTGTCACGAAATGATGCATGTCTAAAAAGTGTGTCACCAACATGAAAAGTTTAGAAAGCTCTGCCCTAAAGGGAAGCACGCAAACAGGACCTGAGTGCAACAGCAACTCCCCGCACTTGTAGTTCTCAACAACTGGTATTCCAAAGCGTACTGCTTCTGAACTGAGGCCAGAACATAGACATTGATGGCCTTACCCTCTAAGGTGGTGGCCATCACTACCCTCCTCTTGGTATAAGTTCCATAGTTTATCTGTGCTGTGTGATTATGTGCTGTACAAAGGAAGTACATTCTTTCGTATGTCCTCTTTCTTTTATCTGTCCTGAATCTTCCAACAACCTTCCCTTGCCTGCCATAGCTTATTTTTTGCTACTGTACATGAGGAGTGATCATGTGTACTCTCTCCTGCCTCCTTACATCACTTGACTGCCCCCAGAACCAGCACTCCCTCAGAGCTGAGAAGAGGATAAAAACCCGCTTCCCACCCTTTTTGTCTCATTCATCCCTCTTACGTGCCTATTTCTCTCTCCAACAGCTTTTTGCTCTTGTGGGCTGCTCTTTGCAGCTTCCGCAATCTCTTAATTGCGTTGGTGGGACAATTCTTTCTTTGGTTGGGCTGGGGCAGGTGGGTGGAGGAATGCATCAAGGATTAGGTGAGCTGTAGCTGATGGTTAAAAATTTCCTCTGTAGTTATACAATAAATGTATCTTGGGCCACATCCACACCATACATTTGAAACCACATTAACAATCGTGAATTCTCCCAGGGATTCCCAGGAAGTATAGTTTGTTAGGTATGCTGAGAGTTGTTAGGAGTCCTCTATTCCCCTCTCAGAGCCACAATTCCTAAAGTGGTTTAACAACCAAACCCTCTTCCCAGTGGAATTGTAGCTCTGTGTGGGGAATAGGGGTGTCCTAACACCTGTCAGTACCTTTAACAATCTGCAGTTCCCATGATCATTTGCGGGAAGCCATGGCTCTTAAAGTACTATTATACCACTTTAACTGTCTAGTGCGGATGTGGGCTTGCCCTTGGTAGTTCAGCCCTATGAGGAGGCATGGTTGAGCTGTAGCTTGTGGGTGCCATTAATGGGGTGACTCAGTGGCAGACAGAGACAGATTTAGGTGGCACAATCCACTGAGAATTTCTCCCGCACGTTCCTCATTAAAGTGAATGAGAATGCAAGTACAAGAACTCAGTTCATTTTTTTCAACAGTGCCACCTTGTCTTTAGCTGTGATTCCTTAACTGCAGGGGTTGGGCTAGATGACCCTTGGGTGTACCTTCCATCTCTACAATTCTTTGAGTCTATGATAATATCCTGATGGATTGTGCTCCAAATTACAGTATTGAGTTGTGGATGGTAGTGGAATGGGGAAAGGGCTGTAGAGCTTTGCATGCAGGAGACTCCTGGTTCAATCCCCATCATCTCCAGAATGAGAAAACCTCATGTTGGAAACCCTGGAGAGCTGCTGCCTGCCATTGTAGACAGTACTGAGCTTGATGGACCCAATGGTCTGACTTTGCAAAGGCAGATTCCTATATTCCAATGAGAGTTTGCTGTTTGGGGTTGTCCAGTGTGTGTACTGACTCATTTCCAGCAATTTATAAACTTCTCCATTTCAGCTTGCAGTGGCTGCACCTCACTTTGGAAGTTGAACACTATTACTTTAGGGTGAAGGGTGGGTAATTAATGGTGGTAAAGGTAAAGGGACCCCTGACCATTAGGTCCAGTTGTGGCAGACTCTGGGGTTGCGGTGCTCATCTTGCTTTATTGACTGAGGGAGCTGGCATACAGCTTCCAGGTCATGTGGCCAGCATGACTAAGCCGCTTCTGACGAACCAGAGCAGCGCACGGAAACGCTGTTTACCTTCCCGCCGGAGCGGTATACCTATTTATCTACTTGCACTTTGACGTGCTTTCGAACTGCTAGGTTGGCGGGAGCAGGGACTGAGCAACGGGAGCTCACCCCGTCGCGGGGATTCGAACTGCCGACCTTCTGATCGGCAAGTCCTAGGCTCTGTGGTTTAACCCACAGCGCCAACCGCGTTCCTTATTAATGGTGGTAGTAGTAGTAATAATAATGCATCACACTGTCCCGTCTTTGCCAGGGTGATCGGTAATCCTGAGCCCCTTCCTTATTCTGTATCTTTCCATTTAGCGACACCTTGAATCCCCTGCCCTATTATGTGATGCTGTTGCTTGCTCTTTCTGTTTTCTGACATATTTTTGGCCTTATGAGAAGGTTGGGAAATAACTGCTGCTGCCTCTTTGGGGAAGGGCCATTGTTCAATAGTATTGCGGCTTTGCATGCAGAAGTTTCCAGGTTTGATCCCTGGCACCTTTGCATAGGGCTGGAAATGTCCCCTGTTAGAAACCCTGGAGAGCCACCATCAGAGTAGACAGTGAGCTAGATGGAGTCTGTGCAAGGCAACATCCAATGTCTAAGAGATGCTGTTTCCTTTGCTAGCACACTGGGCGCTCTGCCTTTGAAACTCCTACCCTAGTAAATTTCTCCCTTCTCCTTAGAAAGTAACTTCCTAAGGTGACACTTCCTGATCTTCCCAGAGGTGGGGACATGTTAGTCTGGTGCAGCAAAAATAACTAAGAGTCTTGTGGCAACTTAAAGACTTAGCACATTTATTGCAGCATAAGCTTTTTTGGACGCATCTGATGATACATGAATTGTTATCCTGAGTTACACAGGTGTATACAGTATATTCACATGGTTTGGTGGCTGGCTGGCTGTAAACAGTGAGGTCAGAGGGAAATGAAATGCAGAGAGTGATAATTACATAATTAACTATGGTAATTCACAAAACAGTTATTGATAATAAAGACATCCTGGCATTGATATGCCAATTAACACACACACAGTGCGTTGAAATCCTTTGTCTTGAGTTAATTCACAGGTGATGGTATTAAAACTCTTGCTGTATTGAAATCCAGCACTTCCGTGTTGCTATTTCACTTGTGATGTTCCAGAATCGCTACTTTAAGGTCATCTACAAGAGAATATTTTGGGTGGGTGAAATGTTCCCCCTGCTAGCTTTTTAATATAGACCTTTCTGATGTCAGGTTTGTGTCCATTATTCTTTTGGATAGAGACTGGTCTGTTTGTCCTACATAGAATGTAGAAGGGCATTCCTGACAAATGATGCCATATATCACATTGGAATATGAGCAGGTGAATGAACACTTGATGTCGTGGATGACATTATTAGGTCCTGTGATAGTGTTGCCAGGGTAGACATGGGGATAGAGTTGGCATCTGCTGCTCATAATAACTTATGTGCTCTGCTGGATCACCTGTGTGGTGCTACCGCTCTTCCTCATATTTTCTGTTTCCATCATTTCAGATCCCTTCTCAGAATCACCCTCCACAAAGCCTTTGGTTCAACTGCACATTCCTCATCACAGTGCTATAGGTTGGGGAAACCTGTGACATGCCCGCCCTCTCATCCAGCCCTCTGGATGTTGTTTGTTTGTTTGTTTATCATACTTATGTGCCTCTTAAGGCAGCCTGTAAGTACAGTGGTACCTCTGGATGAGAATGGGATCTGTTCCGGAGCCCTGTTCTCATCCTTGAAGCGAACGCAACCTGCGCGGGTCGCGATTCGCTGCTTCTGCACATGCGTGTGACGTCATTTTGAGCGCATGCACGAGCGGTGAAACCCGCAAATAATGCGTTCCATAATTTCCGGGTCGCCGCGGAGCGTAACCTGAAAACTCTCAACCTGAAGCAACTTTAACCCGAGGTATGACTGTAAACCATAATAATAAATACAGTATATGTAGCAGTGAAACCAAGAAAGTACAATGCATCTACGATATGGGCTCTTTGGGGGGAGTGGTAAGGTATGAAGCCAATAAGTAATAATAAATAAGAATTATCGCTTCTTGGCCTTTTGGCTAAGATCAAGTGTAGTGTAAATAAGAATTCAATGCAATATTAAACAAAGCTGCAATACAGTTCAATAAAACAATAAATCTTTAAAAACAAAAGCATAGCCACACCTTTTGAGAGATGTCCTTAGAGTCAGTTATCTGCTGGGAGTGGCTCCAGGCCCTGTTAGCCTTCGCCAGCACAGCTAATGGCCATGGATAATGGGAACTTCAGTCCAGCAATGTCTGGAGGGCCAAAGGTGAGCCACCCTCAATATAAGGTCTTTCAGTAATTATAATAATTCATGATTTCTTCTGGCTTCTCATCGTGCAGTTTTACATGGCCCTTGTTAAAATGTTGATTTTATTAGTATGGTTTTGATTTGTATTCTGTCTTGGAAAGTTACTTAGAAAGGTAGCGTATGCATAATGCACTGATAACAACAATTGATTAATAGAATAAAAATCCGTTTTGGATCATCCTTGGAAAGATTCTTGCAACTCTCTAATCCAAGCAGGTTAAATAGCAGTGAGGGTAACTGATTGGTGTATTAAGCGTTACTTACTCTCCACTGTTGTGTGTGTGTGTTTTGAAAAGGGGGGGAGTTGTGCTTTTCCAGAAGGTAGTTGCAGGGTGGGGCAAGACAGGGTGCAGCAACTGTTCCGGTTCTGCAAAGACTGTGAGCGCACCTTGTGACGTGCTTAACAGATTACAGGGGAAAGGTAGCAAGGGTAGGTAGGGGTGGTTACTTGAAAACACCAGCTGCAGGAGAGAGGCCTGGCAGGCCTTGAATTCCTTCTCAATGAGCCTTCACCCACTGGCTTTGCTGTCCTCTCCTCCTCCGGTGAGTCTCCTCAGGCCCTGCGGGTCAGCAGTAGTGCCGCCTCCTCAGTTTTGGCTCCCACAGCTGCCTTCCACTTGATTGTGCTTTTCCTTATTTTCCCAGGGGAGAGTGGTCGCCCTCCCTATGTGTTACAGAGGGGAGGGGGTGGGAAGCCTCTAACTCCAGTCTTTGGGGCTCTCCTCTTTCTTGCTTTCTCTGCAAGCGCATGCATGTGTCTTAGCAACAGGGCCTGAAAAGGACAGCTAGCATGGAAATGAGACAAGTATAACAGTGGACTAAATATATCTCCAGCATCCTTTATCTTAGGGGTGGCAGAGGAAGGAAAAAAGAAAGAAAGAAAAGAAAAAGAAGGTTTGAATCTGGTGCCTGGTACGTTTTCTTTTGAGCCCTTCTAGCTTTGGTCTCATCAGTGGGGGTTTTTAAAACAAATGTGGGTCCAGAGAAAGGAAAGCTCATCCTCCACCTTGGTTTATAAAGCAAGAACATCTATTTATCAAAATAACCAAATTCAGCCAACATTTAAGCATGACTGAATCAAAGTAGTTCTCTCCCCTCCTCCCTCCTCCCTATTCTTTCCTCTGCAGTTTCAGCTTAAACTAGTTGAAGCGGAGGGGGGAGAGCCCATATGACTCAGGTTACCTGTGGCAGCTGCACCTTCTTAACTGAGTAACTGAAATTTTGATTTTTTTTGTTTCCTGAGAAGTGTGCTGCTGTTTTCTCCCTGTCCCCCTTTCCACCCTGGTTTTAACATTATAATACATTTCTGTTGCTTTTTGCAGATCTTTCTTTGGTAAATCTTAAGTATTCAAGTATCCCCTTTAAAAGTAAAGTGAGGGGAGATTTCCCCCACCCCACCCCTTGGCCTTGCCTTGATTGAATGCTTGTATACACACAACTTAAACCCTGTTATTATATAATCTAATCATACAAAACTCCCTTTTTATTGGAAATCCTGTCCCCAGGGGAGAGCTGGTCCACTCAATTATCCTGTTGCTTTTGATGTGTCCAAAAAGGTCTGTGTGCTACCTTGTGTGGTTGGCTCCATCTCCTGGCTGGTGAAACCTAGCAGCATGGCTGGAGAGCTTCTGCTCCCCTTTCCAGCTGGACCCTCACAGTTGTTCCCTCTGTCCCACTGTGCTGCTGGTCTGGGCCCCATCCCTTCCTTGGTGAGAGCTTGTCAGTGTGGCATGAGGGCTGTTTCCAAGGGACACCGGGAAGGTATAACTTACAGAAGAGGCAGTGTGTGTGGGGTGACACAGCCCTTTGTTGCTGAAGAAGTGAACCCCCACCATTCTTGGCTCCCATCTTTTTTGATGGGGGTCAAAGTGAATGTAGAAAACAGTTGAAAAGGGAATGCTTTTGTTTGGATCCAGGCTTCCTAGCTAAGGGTTGTGCTGGTTGAACAGGCCTAATCCAAGTTCCCAGCCTAGAAACTGAATGTCTGAATGACTGACAAGGCCAAAAAGGGAGAAAGGGGTCATGAACTCAGTGGCAGCAAAGTGAGGATTTACATGGAGACAGTTTGCACTTGCTGTCTAGGAGCACAAGCTCCCATATACAGTACATAACCACAGCAGGATATTTCTCTTGAAGCTTCTCAGCTTTTGAGTTTGGCATTCGTGGTTGGATCTCTCTGTCCTTCTGTTTGTTATTTCTGTCTCCAAACACCCCCCCCCATTGCTCCGACAATTCATATTGGAAATCTGTGGAGGCCAATACCAGTAGGGGTGACTTATGCATCACTTTGCAGCCAGCTGTTTTTGTGTCCCTTCCTCCCACCTTTTTCTTTTTATTCCTGCTTCTTGAGGACCCTTGTGCAAGTGCGGTGGGTGAGATGCAGTGACTGGATATTGTGTGTGTCCTGGCAGCACATTTATTCAGCCTGAGTAAGAAGAGGGTTCTTAACCCACCTTTTGCTTTCCATTGGGAGGGTGGAGAACGAGGAGGAGGGCAAAGTTTTCTTGCTTGCCAAACTGGTCAAGCCAGTTCTGATAATGATTGGTGTTCTCTTTCTTTTTCTGTGGTGCTCCGGGAGAGATTGAGATTTAAAAAAACACACATACTGTATGCCAGTCTTGCAAGCTACACTTGATAGATGGTGAACTTTCTGTAACAAGTAGAGACTGTAGTTAATACCCAGTGGAAAGCTTGGGCTGTAACAGTACATTTTGTTATCCTTTATTACCCAGTATCCAAGGCACATGCTATGCAGATTTGCAAATGTAGTTGCTTAGACTAGAGCACACATAGTCTTAAAACCTCATTCGCGGGTGGAGGAATCTCCTCTCTTGCATCCGCGGTGTGTAATAGTTTGCTGCATTTTTATCAGATTTATTTGTTGCTGTAAATTCCTATCATCTGCCCCTGCTGGTGTAACTTTTTAAAAAAAATGTAGGGTTACAAACCAAATGTGCTTTGTTGGTGTGGCATAGGAGCTTAAGTCACAAATGAGGTTCAAATCTCACCTCAGCCACAGATTCAAGGGTCATTGGCAGTGATACGGAGTGGAAGCGTTGCCAGATTTTTTTTTCAGTGCGTAATTTTTCTATGTGAAATTTTCTGTTTCGTAAGTTCATTTGTAACAACAAATGGATGCCAAGTGCAAATAAACATTAAGCAAGTTTTTTAACTTCATAAAGGTATAATAAACATCTCCAACAAAACTTTCTGGAAGCACCTGGTTAGCCACTGTAGGAATCAGGATGCTGAACTACATGGATCTTTTGGTGAATCTCTCTCTGTCATCTTTAATGCTGACTCTTGTATTATAGCTGCCTGGGCCTTTTGGCAAATTCCAAAATAGCAGCTTCTCCATGATCTATGCATTTCCTGGACAATGTCTAAATGGCAAAGATCTGAACAGAAACCTTCTCTCTCTGCCATAGCTAACGTGGCACTTGGGACCAGTTTTTCAGCTTTGGTTGAGCTGTGTGTCTTGAAGCCGTGCAGTCTGCAGTAGTATTGGAGCTACTCAGTGTGTTTTGGAAAGAAGTACAACTGGGTCTCTCAGTATTCCACTGACCAGTGTTTCTATCAACAGAGGTGTTCAGGTAATTTAATTTGGGGGAGGAGAGGGTAAACACTTGCAAAGAAGGGGTCTGATACCATTCCACAGGGCCAGCCCTACCACTGGCAGAGTGAGGCAGCTGCCTCAGGCTTGGAAGATGCTGAGGTTGCTACTCAGATGTTAGTGGGCAGAGCTGTGCATGCCATCTGACCTGCCCCGCATTCTGTTAGCTAGCCTGCTGTCCTCAACACTGTCCCATCTCTAGTACTGAAGTAAGGTTCAGCAGTTCAGTCAAGAGAAAGGACTGTAGCCCCGTGGTAGAGCAGCTGCATTCCATGCAGAAGGTCCCAGGTTCAGTCCTTGCATCTCACTGGTGAGAGACAGATCACTGCCTGAAATCCAAAAGAGTGGCTGTCAGTAAGTGCAGACCATACTAAGCTAGAAGGAGCAGTGGTCTGATTCATTATGTTCCTAACTTCTGGTCTGATTGGCTTCCCAGCTGGTGCTCTCAGGAGGTGGAGGAGACACGATTACTTGGTTATTTTTAAAGAACATCCCATTTGACATTTCTAAGTGTGTGGAGAAACACCCCAACTTTTGGCCCCAGTAATGTAGTAAGCTGGTGAGTACTTTGCTCCCCCCACCTTCACCACACAGGCAGAGCAGTGTGGCTATGCTTATATGGGCCATTAGAAGCTCTGTAGCTAGCATCGCAAATCAGGAGGCAGTTTGCAGGAAATGTGAATTTTGGGGGGGGGGTGTTTCCTGTGACCTGGAATGATCAGTGTTATACTTGTAGATAGAGATGTATTAAAAGAATAAATGCTACCCTTCTGATGGTGCCTTAAAAAAAAAAAAATCAAATGTGCAAAATGCACAGAGGAAAAAAAATGCTCATTAAGCAATCCTGGACCTGGGTTAGGAGAGCAGAGCGGCGTCAAAGTTCCCTCTGTGCATAAATCTACTTTTAATTAAAACAACCTGAATGGGAGACTTGAATGTTCTCTCTCTCTTTCTCTGGCTTTCCATCCTGAAATCTCCTCTGTACATTATCCATCATAAGGTTTACTCAGAGCACACAATGTTCTGTTACAGTTTCAGTTCGGCAAACTCGTTTTCCCTAGCTGCTGACTTTTTTCCAGGGCATGTGTTTGGATTCACGTGCTTTCAGGTACAGTGGATTGCAGCAGGCTCTGTTGCTGTCTTAAGACTACTTCAATTTTCTGAATATTAAAGCTCATTTTCTTTGCAATGTGGAAATTAGTTACTGCCTGGAGATAAGCCTCCAGGTTATAGGTTCTGCTTTAATACTACTAACTGCCGCACCTAAGAAGTAAGGTGGCTGGAGATGGGGCCTGCGCCATAGTGTCTATGTGTTCATGCAGTAGCCAAAATTGCAGTCAACCTGGTATAATTAGGCTTGCCGCTGCACAAGAAGATTGTAGAAATTATTACTGTTTGTTTTTTAACCCATGTTGATCCTACATGGCAGCCTCCAATTTAAAACAATTTAAAAATATATATATGTGTAGTAGAATTATTCATTCCCTGGCATCTCCAAGTAAGGCTGGGAATTAATTCCTGCCTGAAACCTTGGAGAGTTGCTGCCAGTCAGTGTAGACAGTACTGAACTGGGTAGACTAATGCTCTAGCTTTAGCACAAGGCAGTTTCTTATGTATTTGAAGAACAAGAGCAACTTTCATTTAAGTTAAACAAGGAATTGGAAATTGGATCCAGCAGGTTTCCCCACCTCTAGTGGTCCACTTTGACCTGTGGACAGTAAGGTGAATGGTTTGAGGGCTGTTACTCCTCAGTTTTGATTTACTGTACGTTTAAGTCACCAGGTGTTCTCTCAGACTGAGAATAAGAAAGGAAAATGGCGAATGGTGTTTGTTGAATTGCCATTGGGTTGGGTTGTAGTGAATAATAATCATCATTTATATGGCATCTTTTTGAATAGTGCTAGTATTGGCCTTGGGCAGTTCCTAGGGCTTACAGGTGCTGACACCTGTTTTGGAACTGAGCAGCCACCAATTTCCTTCAGTTCCCCAGAGCAATACAACTTTGGGTGCTCTGGTGCACTGTGGGATATTTAAAATTGTGGCCACTCAGCCACAGCCTTGTAAGGTAGGTCAGGTGTTGTTTCAAATGGGGAGTTGAGATAGTAATCTGCCTAAGGTCACCCTTGGCAGAAAATAAATTCAGACTGGATGCTCCTTGGTTCAGTTGTTGTGATTGTTGGTCATTAATTTGATTCAGCATTCTTGTAGTAAGGAATCTTATTCCAGATTGGAACAGTGGCTTGTGCAGTTTG